CCCAAACATACTCATTGTTGTTGTTAAGTGCTATCAAGTTGGCTCCAACTCAATGACCCTGTTATAGGGTTTCCAAGGAGCAGCTGGTGGTTCAAACAGATCTTGTGTTCCAGTGCTTTATCCCACACCACCACACGAGGACTACAAACATATACTAGAAACATTTAGAAAATGAATAAACTGGTTATCTATTGAGAGCACAGTACAACAAAATGTAAATGTAAGCAAGAAAGGGTGGAAGAACAAGGTAGATAGGGGAACAGACACAGGTTTGCATGAGCTAAATGGGACAGAGGTAAATTGTGATGCATGCTCAACTTTGGAACAACAGGGCTCTGGGATACAGGGATCAAGGCATAGTCTGAAGATGCTGGATTAAATACTAAGCCAAACTTAACACTAAGATGCTTGATGGTCTTATGAATATTGGTTTCCCTTGCCCACTACTGTAAAATAGACACTTGAGTGTGAAAGAAAGGAATGTCAGGAAACATGATTACAGAAAGCTTGTAGGCCCATTTTCGGCCTGTAGCTGATTGGAATACTTAAAAGGGGTTCTAGAACTTGCCCAGTGAAATAGGCCTCTACGGAGCCTTTGCAGTGGAACCCTGAGCCCCATCCAGAACCTTCTGAGGTGGGACATTCTCACTAGAAAGGACAAGCAGACAAGCCTGGAACAACAGCCAGAGTGACAGAAGACACAACTTCAAAGAAAGATCATCAGGAAAAACCCAAAACAAAAATCTGGCTACTGTAAGAATAAGCAAGTTGTTTGCCAAGAAGCCATCAAGGCAAGCCATCAAGTTCCCTCAGGACAAATTCCCCTCTAAGATCGAAACTCAAAGGGAACACATGAACAGGCATATAAGCTTGCTGACAACCACTTTGGTCTACTGGTGATTGGAAGAGGGGGAAAGGCAGCAATGAAGAAATGGGCTGAGTTCAACCACGTTCCTTAGACTCCCGTTGACCTGGAGATGAGAGAAGAGGAAGGGCTGGTTGGTCCAAAGTGTGGTAAGACCTGGGGACACCCGACATAGCCACAGAGCGCTAGAGCTGAGAGTGAAGCATCCAGCTGATATAAAGTGAGGATGCACAAGTACATCCAAACTTGAAGATAGTACCTATTTGACCTAGCCTCGATGGCTTGATAATCAAAACTCAACTAGAGGAAGATAAAAAAGTTTTTGATAAAGGAAACAAGGGTAAATTGCTAAAATTTGATGAACTTGATACTCATGAAGGTAGTAACTCTAAATACCAACAGAGAGGGAAGGAGTCTTCACATCAAGTTATCAAAGCTACCCTTCTCTGTGCACAGGGTAGATAGGGATGCACAACTTAGACACTGGCTACCTAAAATGAGGGGGTGATGAAGGCATGAGGTGACTAGCTTACAAGGTTTCAAGAAGGAGTATATTTTAAGAGTGTGTAAGGGAAGATGGAGTACCCACTGAAGTTTTCATCTTGTCTAGATGGGTCTGGTGAAAAGAGATGGGGATAAGATTCTTATAATTCAATAGTTATTGTTAACATGACTAATTGCGATTGTCACAATTGTAAAGGTAGAAGTTTCGTATCAAAACCGGGGGAGTAGTTAATCTTACAGTCCAGAAACATAGGACCCTAGGACCACCAAGGGAGAAGAGCACACGCTGAATGCGGGACCTTATCTAGAGAAGCAGTGACACCAGAGATGGAGGCAGAGATTGGGACATGGAGAGAAGGAGCAGCTGAGGACTCTAGATTCATGGAAAGAGAGGGACTGAGAGCTGGTGGTCAGGAGGCAGACTTACAGAATGTGCCCTTTGGTGGTGTAAATAATAATTTATTTATAAATTATAAAAAATATAATAATAATTATGCCTGAGTGTTTAAAAAAAAAAAAAAAGAGCTAAAATGTAAATACTGTTAACTGATGGTACATGGAGAGGATTATAATCACTGTAATGAAACAAGGTGTAGGATTTGTTGAATGTAAAACTGATGATCTGCCCTGTAAACTTTCACTCAATTCACAATAAAACATTTAAAGAAAAAAAGTTGGAAACAAAAAACACACAAAAAATGTTAGTGTTAAGACTTTTATTACCTTTAATTAGGAATTTTGCGTCTCATGAATTACTATCATAAAGAGATGAAAGTAAAAAACCTCAAGTGCCGCTGGAACATCAGAGGTGTATTAGCTGCTGATCAGGTATAAAAACTTTATTGCTTACAAGTGAACCCTAGGTGATTAAAATAGCCAATAACCCTTATAGATGGACTATTACAGCAGCTCAATTTGAAATGGACCATCCTGGTATGGTGTTGCAGGATAATGAACTGGACTGCAAGGTTGGCTTGAACCACACGGTCAGCAGTTCAAACTCACCAGCCACTCCTTTACAGGATTGCTATGACTTGTAACCGACTCAGTAGCACGTAACATCAACAACATGCAATTTACATTAAGGGAAAAAGACAAAGAAGGTAATATTGTATTTAAGATAACCCTTGAAATAATTAATAGTCCCTTAAAATGTTTAATGGATGAACAAGTGTCACCACAGCTAACTTGTAATTTGTGAGTCTTTATAGATTGTTATCTTTATAGAGCTCCAGGAACCAAAAAATGTTTACCTTTACAGCATGGTTTCTCAACCTCAGTACTACTGACATTTTTCTTGTGGGGAGGCTGTCCTGCCTATTATAGAATGTTGAGCAGCATTTTTCACTTCTACCCACAGGATTTCAGCAGTATTCCCCAGTGAGAACCAAAAATGTCTCCAGAAAGTACTAAATGTCCCCCAAGAGGCAAAATCACTCTGAGACCCATTAGAGGGATTACTGTTTTTGCAGTTGCCATTATTCTGCAATGCATATTAAAAAACTGACAGCTTTTGATTTTATTTGACAGCATTCAAATCGGTTCCGACTCATAGTGGTCATTTATAGGGTTTCAAAGAAGTGGCTGGTGAATTTGAGCGGCCGACCTTGCGGTCCAGTGCATTCTCTCACAGGGCCACACTAGGACTCCTTTACTTCTCTAGCTCCCTGAAGCAAAATTCACGTTTTCTTTTGTACCTTCTTACAGTTTGAAATGAAGTCCTGGTGTGACGCTGTGGGTTAATGCACCAGTCTGCGAAGCTGTTTGAACTGCAAGGTCAGCAGTTCAAGCTTACCAGCTGCTCCTTAGAAACCCTATACAAGGTCACTATGAGTCAGAACTGACTTGACACTTAACAATGTAGTTTGAAATACCCAGCATTATGGAATGATGAAACACTAAGCAAGAAAAGAGCTTCTAGGTTAGGCAGCTCTTCCTATGATTTCCTGTCTGCATTTTGGACATCCCAGTTTAGCCAAGATTTAAGCTTTGTTACCTCTCAAGTGGACTTGTCATTGTTGTTGTTAACTGATACTGAGCTACTTTCAAGTTAGCAACTGTTATATGGTTTCCAAGGAATGGCTGGTGGGTTTGAACCACTGACCCTGAGGTTAGTGCTCATCCTATAGTACTACACCAGGACTCCTCAAGTTGACTGACTGGATAAAAAGAGCTTCTGGAGTGGAAGGGCAACGGTACCTTATTTTGGGGTTTAGTGCCACAATGGATCTCCATACTATCTAAAGTTGTGCAGATTCACACTAGAGAACACATTCTGGCTGCAATGATTTGGCATACCACCAAGTTAGGTAGCAAGGAGTCTTGGTGCTAAAGATTGGTAATTCAAACACACCTAGAGGCTCTGCAGATAATCTGGCAAACTGTTCCTGTAATAATTGCAGCTAAGAATTCCCTGCAGGACAGTTTTACTGTGTCGGATTGTGTTATGTACCTAACAACAACATATTTTATACCAACCAGGCTAAGACACACTATATCCTCCTTCCTTGGTTAGAGACTGAAGTGTCTCTACTGCAAGCCAAATGAAAGAGAAAGTACAAATCTACAAAGAAAAGGGTTACTATACCCTTAATAAAGTGTATTTAAACAAATCACTTTGAGAGACTCAGGGAAAAAATTCTTCCGAAAAAATAGGAGGCATACTATTGGCTTATCTTTTGGAGATAGACTTGAAATTATAAAGCATTTTTCAAATACACAAAAACGAGTCAGTAAGCCTTAAGGAATGCGTTTTTTAAAAAGTACATCACTTTTTTGTTGTTGTTAAAAAGAAAATGCCCCATTCAAACGGTGGTAGCATATTTGATATCAGCATGTTTAAAGAGGAATGGAGTTACAAGAATGAGAAGTATATAATTAGTAAATAATCCTTCTCAACAAGTGAGCTCAGCAGTAAAACCATAAAAGGGAGAAAGAAGAGCCGGAGGCAATACAATCAGTGCATATCAGAAATGCATTTTTATTTTTATTTGAAAACAACTTAAAATTTTAGACAAATGATTTTAGTATATAAATTTGATTTTGTTTTTATACAGAATATAAAGCTGTCCCTCATTAATCTTCCAGGAGAAGGTTTTACAAGCTTGAAGGAAGAGACTTTCTGCACACAGGTGTGGTACGAGAAACCAGTGGTGTAGAGCTCCTACACATACATTAGGACAGAAGACATTGCATATTAAAAAGGGGGTAAGAGAAATATTCTAGTTAATCATATTCAAGAAGCACACATGACACAAAATCTGTGCATATAAGACCAAGTGGGTCACTTTAGTGAGGACATTGCAGATTAGACTGGAATAACAGGTTTGTGAAGCTATCGAGTAGTGTGCACCACATAATAGCAAGGAGCAGCTATTTATAGAAAGTCTGGAATGAGGGATTTTCGCTAAAGCAAATTAACTTCTTGTCAACTGCCAAAACAAACAAAACTGAGCATCATAACGAGTGTTAGTATACTGAAGGCAAGTTAGACCAGGTTCTGTGCAGCATGCGAAAAGTTAGTCACAACTTCTTCACTGGTGGATACGAATCATTAATAGTCACGGAAAGTGGGTTTTTTTGTTTTTGTTTGGTGTTTTGTTTTTGTTTTTTCCCTCCTTCTCACCAAATTTCAGGCATGTCTTATTTTGGATGGAGTATAGCTTTTATCTATTATTTCATCCTGTAAAAACATGTGAAGACAACGTTCATTCTGTGCCAGAGGATGACCAGCGACCCTAAGAAAAGAAATAGAACTTAAGTACAATACTTTATGAAAGAGAGGAGAAGGGGAGAGAGGGGAGTCAGCATGCATATTTTAAAGTTAAGAAGTATGTACAACTTAGAAATAATTAGGTGTTATCCTGGAGTGCCTATAAAAGCTAAGCTCTTTGAATTAATTGTCCATTTTATTTCCTTCGGTTCAGAACAGTACTTGAGAAATGTTTAATCCCTGACTAACTTATTTCTGGTGTGTGTACCCAATTAGCTAGCTTCTTTATATATCAGTTGGTGTTATTTGTAAGAAACCTAAATGAATTTCAATTTTAAACACGAAACATGTCATTGATTCTATGATTTTAAACCCAGAAAGAAGAGAGGATTAGAGTTAAAGATACACTATTGTTGTTGTTAAGTGCCATCAAGTCAGTATGTTCTAGCATGAACATAACAACCATGGCTGTACAGGGTTTCTGAGGAGCGGTGGGTGAATGTGAATCACTGACCTTGTAGTAAGCAACCCAGTGTTTATCCTATAGTGCCATACCAGGACTCCAAATATACATTGTTGTTGTTAAGTGCCACCGAGTCATTTCTGACTCATAGCAACCCTGTATAGGATTTTGAGACAAAAACTCAGGTGCTGCTACTGAGTACGTTCAAATAAGCATATTCCCTAGGACTGGACTTTACTTTGGTCAAATTTAAGGCCAGTCCACAGAGTCAGCATACTGGTCTAATCCTCCCTATTACACTGACTTTTTAAAAATAACTACAATTAAAATGAATAAAAATGACAGTTAAAATTTTGGTTTGTATCTTACTAAGATCCTCTAGAGTAAAAGACCATCCCGTTTTCTTTATTTTCAAAAGAATACATTTTGCCATGAAAATTTAAAACATGCACCTTTACACAAGACATGGTGATAATGCCTCCATTTGCAATCAAACAAAATGATTGCAAGTACAGTGTAAGTTCTATTGTTCATGCTAGAACATACCTTAAATCAGAAAGAATCATAAGTAAAACTATTTTTTAAATACTGTAATTTTAAATGTAATTTGCATAAATTAACCAAAAAAAACCCCAGCCAACAACAAACAAACACAAAACTTAGGTCAACACAAAGACAGTCATTTGAATCATACAAATATGCTAATATCACATGACATTCAATTTGTTAGATACTTTACTTTGTGCAAATTATATACAAAGTTAGTTAGGAAATAGCTCAAAGTAAAATCAGCTAAACTAGTTATTTAGTTGCTAGTAATTACTTGTAATTTAGTGATAAACTAATAAATGTTTATCATTAAATTACTAGTTTTTGTTATGTGCCATTGAGTCAATTCTGACCTAGAGCAACCTGTATAGGGTTTCCGAAGAGCAGTTGGTAAGCTTGAACCACCGACCTTGCAGTTCAAACTGACTTTGCAATCCAGTGCATTGACCTACAGCACCACTCCAGGACTCCAAATTACTAGTTGTTGTTGTTGTTAAGTTCCATGGAGTCAGTTCCGACTCATAGCGACCCTGTACAGGGTTTCCAAGGTTGTAAATCTTTACGGGAGCAGAAAGCCTCATCTTTCTCCTGCAGAACCGCTGGTAGTTTTGAACTGCCGACCTTGAGGTTAGCAGCCCGATTTGTAACCACTACACTACCAGAGCTCCTTAAATTTCAATCAATGAAGTAGTCTCAGAAAGCTGTTCCTTCTTATACCTTGAGGGATAGAAAAGTACTTACTTGTTTATAAACTGCTCCAGGCCTTGCTTCCTTTCCTCAATAAAACTGTCATCAAATATTCCATCATCTCCTCTAAAAGGAAGTTGACGCAAAAATGCTTTTCCAGGGAGTGGGGGAACTACAACCTGAAAATACAAGGAAAGAAGGATCTGATCATGCTGGCTTATTAAATGGGTTGTGAATACTGACAGAGCACAACATAAAGGCAAAGTATATTCTCACAGGGAGTCAAGTCATGCTACTCTCAAGCTAGATTAAATACAAAGGGAGTCAGTAGGAAACACATTGAAATTAGACATCATTTTGGAGGCAAGACAAATGAAGAAATAGCTACCTAGGGCAGGGACAACAGCTTAATTCTCGGTTGTTTCTGGCCTTATCAAAGCACAAGCAGACAAAAAGAACATTCAAGTAATGCTGAAAATAGACTACCATGGCCATCAGACACCTTCGATGCCACTTGGGGAAAGACAATGCCTTAACTGCAATGGAAAAGCAGAGATGAAAACTGATTCTCAATCAAACCAAGAAGAGATAAAATGCTAATAATGTTCTGTCTGGCCTGGGTATGTAAGAATTTTGTAGTCAATTTTCTCAACCTCTCACCATTTACATAGAGGTCTTTCTTAATTGCATTTGAACTGATGGCAAAATAAACAAGCCTACCTACCACCTCTCTTCCATTTTCTAGACTATACAATATATCAACTTTCTCCCAAAGCCCCTATCTTATCCTTTCCTAAAGACTTGTCTTTTCTTCCATTCTACCATATGTTGTTGTTGTTGTTAGGCGCCAATGAGTCAGTACCAACCCCTAGCGACCTTATGCACAGCAGAACGAAACACTGCCCTATCTTGGGCCAACTTCACTACTGTTGTCACGCTTGAGTCCATCGATGCTGCCACTTGGCCAATCCATCTCCTCATTGGGGGTCTTCCTCTTTTTTTTTGACCCTCCACCTTACCAAACATGATATCCTTCTCCAGCAACTGGTCCCTCCTGACAATATGTCCGAAGTATGAGAGACGAAGTTTGGCCATCTTGGTCTCCAAGGAGCACTCTGGCTGCGCTTCTTCCAAAGCAGATCTATTGGTTCTTTTGGCAGCCAATGGCACTTTCAATATTCTCCTCCAACATCATAACTCAAAGGCATCAATTCTCCTACAATCCTCCTGATTCACTGTCCAACTTTCACATGCATGAGGTTATTGAAAATACCATGGCTTGGGTCAGGCGCACCTTAGTCCTCAAGCTGACATCTTTGCTCCTCAACACTTTAAAAAGGTCTTGTGCAGCAGATTTGCCTAATGCAATACATCGTTTGATCTCTTGACTGCTGCTTCCGTGAGTATTGACAGTTGATCCAAGAAGAATAAAGTCCTTGACAACTTCAATCTTTTCTCCATTGATAAGAATGTTGATTTTTGGTCAAGTGGTGAGGATTTTTGTTTTCTTTACAGTGAGATGTAATCCATACTGAAGGCTGTGCTCTTTGATCTTCACCAGTAAATGTTTTAAATCCTCTTCACTTTCAGCAAGCAAGGTTGTATCATCTGCATATCACAGGTTGGTAATGAGTCTTCCTCTAATCTTGATGCCACATTTTTCTTCATAGAATCCAGCTTCTTGGATTATCTGATCAACATTATAGGTTGAATAAGTATGGTAAAAGAATACAACCTTGTTACACACTTTTCTTAATTTTAAACCATTCGGTGTTCCCATGTTCTGTTCGAACAACTGCCTCTTGGTCCAGGTACAAATTCCTCAAGAGTACAATTAAGTGTTCTGGAATACTCATACTTCACAATGTTGTCCATAGTTTGTCATGATCCACACAATCAAAAGCCTTTGTGTAGTCAATAAAGCACAGGTAAACATCTTTCTGATATTCTCTGCTTTCAGCCAAGATCCATCGGACACCAGCAATGATATCCCACGGCCTCTTGTGAATCCGCCCTGAACCTCTGGAAGTTCTCTGTCAGTGTATGATTGTAGCCGATTCTGTATTACTTTTAGCAAAACTTTACTTGTATGGGATATCAAAGATAATGTCTTATGATTTCTGCATTCCGTTGGGTAACCTCTCTTTGGAATGGGCACAAACATGGATCTCTTCCAATCAGTCGGCCAGATAGTTGTCTTCCAAATTCTACCATATAGGGGTATCCCAAATCTTCTCCCTTGGAAACTTAATAATCCTCTAGTGTCAATTCATTTTGATGTCTACCTTCTGGGAAATGTTGTTGTTGTTAAGTGTTATTGTTGTTGTTGTTAAGTGCCGTTGAGTCGGTTCTGACCCATAGCGACCCTGTATAGGGTTTCCAAGGAGCAGCTGGTGAGCTTGAACCGCCAACCTTACAGTTCAAACGACTTTGCAGTCTGACACCTTAGCCCACAATATTTATTCAAATAATTTTTAGCTCTTCTTGAGTTTTCTGTACTTGTAAAACTCACATATAATTTATACAGAACCTCTTATATATATATAAAATATATGAATAAGTTAGGAGATACCACCTTAATGCCTTCAAGTCTTTGTTGAAATGTCATTTTTAAAAGAAGCTTTCCTTAGACCAACCAATATAAGATAATAACTCTCTAGGTACTTCCTATTTCTCTTAGTTTAAATTTGCCTTTTAGTTTACTACAGGGTTGCTGTAAGAAGCTCTGGTAGCGCAGTGGTTACGAATTGGGTTGCAAACCACAAGGTCAGCAGTTCGAAACTACCTGCTGTTGAGTGGGAGAAAGAAGAGCCTTTCTGCTCCTGTAAAGATTTACAGCCTTGGAAACCCTGTACAGGGTCACTATGAGTCAGAACTGACTCCATGGCACATAACCACCACCACCATCACCACAGGGTTGCTTTTGGTTGGAATTGACTCGACGGCACTTAACAACAGCAACAACAACCAATATGATATACGGTATTTTTTATATTTTACTTTTTCCTTTCTGTTTTCTCTTCCCTTCACTACTACCCTGAACATAATATAAACACTGTAAATAGAATACAAACACCATAAAGTAAGAACTTAATTTTGTTCTGTAAGTCATATAACACTCAAAAGTTTGTAGAATAAATTAATATTTAAGATAGTAAATATTCCAGACCAAGAATGTATTATTTCTATTTGTTAAGGTCTATTAACATCTTTAATGCCACTCAGTGAAGTTTACAGAGGGGGAAGAAAAAAAGGAAGTAATAGCAAAAAAGTTCTACAAAGTGTTTTAATCCAATAGTCTTCTATTCACTTTATTCATAAATATTTTATATTTATGAATAAAATGTTTAATATTATTTTGAGTAGAACAGTTAATCCTTTATATCTTTGATAGAATGCTATGATTTCTATATGTTGTTCTCATATACAGCCACAGTTACCTGGTTTTAAGGAGTTTTCTTTCTATTTCTACCTTATGAAGCTTCAGAAATTAGCACAATGGAGCCTTAACCTACTTCATGCCTCCTAGCATACACCATATCCACTTCTTTCCTACTGCACTCTAATGACAAATACTTTTCATCATTCTGAGGAGACCATGACCTTCCATGACTCCATGCCTTTGATGGCATTCTGACATTGGGCTGGAGCGAGACCTTTCTCCCTCCAACTTATTTTACAGAAAAAGCTGCCAAATTCTCTTTTATAAGAGGACAATCCTTACCAAGGTATATAGTAGTATTTGTCAAACTGTAGGTTGAAACCCATTGGTAGATCACAGCCATCAGTTTTTAAAGCTAAGTATTATTTCATAGATTTTTTGGTTGTTATATGTACATGAAAAATCTACTTATTATGACTCAGCTTAAAAAAAATTGAAAATACACAGACATATGAGCTGTATTAAGGAAGTGAGACTTGGCAAAGGGTGTGTGTGTGGGAGAAGATGAAATAGAAAGACAAAGGAAGAGAAGTAACAGCAAGAAAGTTCTAAGAAGTAAGTGTTATAATCCAATAAAAACCTCAATTGGGCCACTGAAGTGCACAAGACAGAGCTCCAAGGAAATATACCGATTTACTCCACACCTCCCTAGAAATAAGATGGAAATGAACTGTTTAAAAGGAAATCTGACTTGCTTTTACCTATTTTATTCAAGATAATTTTCCTAAGAGATCTTAAACATCGAAGGCTACAGTAAAAATAATTCTTACCTTGCTCTCTCTTTCTAATTCACTTCGCAGCCATTCAAAGTCACTGTATCTTCTTCTAACAGTAGATTCCTTCAGCTTGAATATAGGAAGATTTGTCTGAAACAATTAAAAAGGTTATTCCTAAACTAAAAACATTACCAGGGTAAGGGGATTTCAAAAAAAGATAAATTTATGTTTATCAAATTGTTAATATGACAATCCTAGTTACATTCAGATAATAAAATTATTAAGATGTCATTTTACTTATTACAAAACACAACTTTGTTCATTGTTTAAGTATGTTTACACTTGAATACAACTTTTAAAAGGCATGCTATACATGTGTTTTTGGGTAACCATTCTATCTTAGGTTATTTATATAAACGGATCATTTTTCTAAAATTTTAGTGAAATTTTAAAATACCAACTGGGCAGGAATAATAAAAAGAGAAGGCTGCCATCTACTTCAGACAGTACTTTAGTGTACAGCACTCACAGTGGATAAAGATCTAACTACTTTAACATGAAAGACAAAGTATTTCATTACTAGGACTAGGTTGCTGTTGTTGTTAACTGCTGTTGAGTTGGTTCCAACTCAGTGACCTTGTATAGGGTTTGTGAGGAGCAGCTAGTGGGTTTGAACCACCGACTTATGGTTCTCTGTCCAGTGCTGATCCTACAGTGCCACTCCAGAAGTCCAGAACTACATCAGCTCTGGCACAATAAAAGAAATAAATTAAGCATTACTCATAATGGCCTTCTAAAATAACACTAGAACCTGGCAGGAAAGGAGCTGCAACATCTACATTCTCTACCACTAGAAGGATATTAGAGCCATACACATGAGATCATGGATCCAGAGCCTTACAGGCAGAGGGTGACAAGTTTAAGAACTGAAAACATAATGCCCAGCACTTTGAAACATTAGAATGTAAAAAACAAAAACACTTTCAGAGTCTTTGCTCTTGCCACCTCTGTTAACTTCTAAACTTAAAAAAGTTAAAAAAAGGGAAGACTCTTCCAGAGAAAATATGATATCAAATTCAATATTTAAAACTTTCCTGATTAAGCACCATTAGCAGAAGCTGTTTGAGACCAGTTGATACTAATGAAGACCAGACTTAAAGTTGCTTGGGAACGAGGCCAGGCAATCTGCTGGGGGGACAGTTCTACTCTGTAAAACATGAGGGTTGCTCTGAGTTGGAATGGACCCAATGGCAACCAACAATATCACTTAGAGTTTGTAAGGGACAGAAATGACAGAACACATTTTAGGCCATAACTTGCTGAGAATGCTACTGAACAGTTTAAATTTTCTTAGACTACATTTTGACCTAATTCAGACTTTGAGCTTGACGAACAGTAGAAAAAAGTTAATAAAAAGATTGACATCCTACTTTGTGTAAAATTCAACTCCTAAGAAAATTTCAGTCATTTGTTAAACTTAATGCCACTGGTTAGTAATGGTCAGACAGCAAAATAAAAGCTTTTTATTAGGGACTGGAAACCCAAATTGAGTGGTCTCAATTTTTTAACAAAGTGTATTAACTTCTATGTTGTATACCTTACAGCTTGAAATCTACAGATGCTATTGGGCCTAACACTGTATAGGTTTCAAACATGAAACCAAATCTCACGAGAGGTTTAATAGCACTTGAATTTTCTTTCCCAGGTAACCACAACATTTGTTCATTGTATTAATGACTAAGAGCAAAATTGCACCTAACAAGACTCTTATTATACTAAAAGTCAAGCTTCTATTTAGAGAGCTTGGCTTGCTGTACAGTGAGATATTCTCATCCCCCACAGGGAATAAAATTCAGTCCCCTGGAGAGCAGGATGATAATTCCCAGAAAGAAAGCACTGGATTATTTCTCTCTAATTTCACCCATTGGCTTTTTAACCAAGTTCACCCTTCCGCATTAAAATATTAAGTCTTTGTAAGTGTCTAAAGCTAGAAGGGCCTTACAGAATTGAGTGTTTTCTGCAGGTGAGATTTTACATTTTGAATTCCCTCCTCTCAAATTACTTTACAAAAGGGATTAACTGCTCTCTTTATTCAATATGTTAAGATCAAGCTTGTGAAAAGAGTTCCCTAAGAATTTTCATACTTCTGGGCACGGAAGTCTATAAAGTTAATCTCTGAAACAACATATCAAGCTTACAGGTACAATGTTGAAGGAAGAATGCCAATTCAGCTCATTTTACCTTCCATTTTCCCTTTTGAACTTTTGACACAATCATGATTATATCAGATTCATTCTAATAAAGCAAGCAGACCCAACCTTTTGGGGAAACTTGGTTGTTGTTGGGTTATTAAGTGCTGTCAGGTGGTTCCAACACATAGAGACCCTGTATACGGTTTCCAATGAGCAGGTAGTGAGTTTGAACTGCCAACTTTGTGGTTCAAAGTCCAGTACTGATCCTAGTGTTGGAGTTGTTGTTGTTAGGTTCCATCGAGTTGAAAACTGTTCAATCCTGGGCCAACCTCACTATTGTTGCCACGCTTGAGCCCATTGATGCTGCCACTTTGTCAATTCATCTCGCTGGGGGTCTTCCTCTTTTTCTCCGACCCTCCACCTTAGCAAACATGATAGCCTTCTCCAGTGACTGGTCCCTCTTGACAATATGTCCAAAGTATAAGAGACAAAGTTTGGCCATCCTGACCTCCAAGGAGCACTCTGGCTGCACTTCTTCCAACACATATCTGTTGGTTCTTTTGTCAGCCCATGGCACTTACAATATTCTCCTCCAACATGGAACTGTCGGAGTAGGAGGGAGAAATCTCTTTTCTTCTATGATTAGTTAATAGTTTGATAGTTTATATAAATATATTAAAATAAAGGATCATGGTTTAAGAAAATTATTTTACTTATTTTCTTACCTGGCTATAATTTCTTTTTGTATGGAATTTCTTATAAAGTTACCACAGTGTAGTGAATTGCTAAAAGTCTCTTCTAATCAGAGTCTTTGTAACTACTACTAAACAACGTTTTTGCCCTGCTGGGTTTGGGTAAGAGAAGGTAGAAAAAGATGCTGATACAATATGATTCATTTGTGAGTGGTTAACAGAGTTAATTGTGACTGTAAAAACTGGGAACTGTACATGGTATAAGGAGTCCTGGTATGGCACTATGGGGTAATGCGCCAGACTGCAAAGTTGTTTGAACTGCAAGGTTGGCAATTCAAGCTCACCAGATGCTCCTTGGAAACCCTATATAGGGTTGCTCTAGGTTGAAACCAACTCAACGGCACTTAAAAACAACAACAACATGGTATGAAATGGGCCATCTCAGAAGCAGGATAGCTCACTACTATCAAAGAAGAAAGAGCCAGGAGTGGAGCATGCCTTTGGGACCCCCAAGATATATGGACATTGACCTCCTCAAACCAGAGGCAGAGCTGTGACACTTGGGGAGTAGCAGCAAAACCAAGAGCTAGAACATAATACAGAGCAGTAGATTTTCCAGCCCACGGAGCAAGTATAGCTATGTGACTCTGAGCTTGCTCTTTGAGTGGGGTTCCTCCTGGCACTTAATTGAGGGGAGCTCGTTTTGCTGACTCAAGGAGCTATAGCCGAGTACATTCAGGCTGGGACTTAAGGTGGAGTGGTGTGTCCTGTGGGTGTTTCTCAGCAGCCCATTTTTTAAAAAAAAGCGTGGAAATATGGGCTAAAAGAACTGTGCCCTGAATTGTAACCTGTTAACTTCCCGAATAAACCACATAACTAAGTTCTGCGTGGCCACTCCAACTGAGTGGTGAGTGCTGTGGGATGGGTTGCCCATCTTAATATTATTTTAATCATATCTTAAAATTATTTTTGTCATATTATTTGCCCATTATATTTAGTTAATGCTGCCCTCTTCTTGATCATTAAACTAAAATCAAAACCAAAACCAAAACCAAATTATCAGCCAAGTCAATTCCACCTCAGTGATCCCACTGACATAGTATAACTGTCCACAGGGCTTCCTAAAGTGAAATCTTTATGGAAGCAGACCATCACATCTTTTCTCCTGCAGAGCACTTGGTGAGTATGAACTGTCGACTTTTCAGGTAGTAGCCAAGCACTTAACCACTGTGCCACCAGGACTCCTTTCTGAATCATAACAAGAATTTTAAAATTCAACTTAATTGATGGAAATAAATGAAAAGGTTTTGAAATGCTTTTTAAAGTCATTGAACTTTCACAGTTAATTATAAATGCTTGAGGTTGGCTACTTCCTATTTATTTACCTTTATTAAATACTGTGCTTTAATTTTTGAGGGAAGGAGAGTCAATTTTTCCATATAGCACTGGGAAGATTTACTTAACTTTTACTGAGCATCTATAAAACATGAGCATAGTGCTAGATATGAGGAGGAACATAAAGCAAATAAGATGGCCCCTTAGGAAATTTATTATATAGTGGGAAGGGATTGCTGTTGTTGTTGTTATGTGCCTTAGAGTCGGTTCTGACCCACAGCGATCCTGTACAGGGTTTCTGAGGCTGTAAATCTTTACGGGAGCAGAAAGCCTCATCTTTCTACCGCGGAACGGCTGGTAGTTTCGAACTGCTGGCCTTAAGGTTCGCAGCCCGATTCGTAACCACTACGCTAGATAGAAGTATATAAAAAGGTAAATTCATATGGTTAAAAATATCATAAACCATCAACAAAGTAGAAAGACAATGACAAACATCCACAGCATATAAGGAAAAACTAATGCATTAAAATAGAAATGAATTTAATAGAATATACAGATTAATAACTTGACAAACAAAACACAGATTATTCAATAATGTTCAATTTCACTCACACAAGAAATGCTAGTTAAAACAGTAAGATACCATTTTCATTTACAAAACAGGCAGTAGGAAAAGCACTAGACTGCTAACTGCAAAGTCAGAAGTTCAAACCCACCAGCCACTCCTCAGAAACCCAATTCAGGATCACTGAGTTGGAACCAACTAAATGGCACTTAACCAACCAACCAAGAGTTGTTAAGGGTCGGGAAAGACAGACATCCAAAAAACCTGCTGATAGTAATGAAAACTGATACAACCTTTAAGAAACACCTTTTGGTGACATTTATCAGTATTTTAAGTGCACTTATCCTTTGGGCCAACAATTTTACT